CTAGGCAATCTAGAAACCTTGATCGTAACTTATCAACTCGTGGGGACTTGGAAGTATCTTCGTTCGCCCGGTGCGTTGATCAAACACCACTTCTCAGACGACAACGGCTCATAACTCCTGACACCATCCTAAGCAACTGATACCTAGAAAGTTTGGAAACGCGCTCAAGTTGCCAAGATGTTCGCATTTTTCAAGCAATACCTCAGGTCGCGTCCAGCGCCGACCAGTTCCATTTTGGGCGCAACTGGTCGCTACGACTTCCTCGATACTGACTTGTCTATCCGCCGAGATATCATCCAGGACATCCATCGATTACTTCAAGCCAACACAGCCTTGCTCAAGAATGAAAACAAAGGTGACGTTGTCAAGCCTGGTGATAAATCCCGACCTATGATGTTCAATAGTCGCGATGTTGTCAACCAGGCGCGGTTTTGGGCGGCTCTATGGTCCTTAGAGCGCCCGCGCCTTGACGCTATCCATTGGAGTCTGTTAGTGAACGAGGATGGCTTTCCTGGTGATCTCATGGAATCTTTGGGAATGTTGCATGAGTTTGTGTGGTGGTGTAAGTTTAATTGTGTCAGCTTGTGTGTTCTCCGGACTGATGTATGTTTCTTCTAGTCACCCGCGTGCCACCAGGTAATCGAGATACCATAGTGCCTCGAATCGATACTCAGGTAGAAGAGGTATGGGTAACAGGTAACTCAAAACACGCAGGAAAGTCGCTTACAGTTCAGTAGGCTAACAGTCGTCGCGCCGGTGGCAAGTGTTGCATCACGGGCAGGAATGATGCAGAGCGCTGCTACATTATCCCCTCCTGGACCCTGATGCGTCCCGAAAGAAGCAGGTGCCTGATACTGCACATGGGTGGTCTTTTTGGTACAGAGGCAATGGATCATCCTAGGAGACTGGTGAGGGACAGGATCAACACCGCTGGAAATATCATCTACTTGAGTCGAGAACTGCAGAAGCTCTGGAATCAAGGTGTCTTTGCCTTAGAACCTCTGAGCTACGATTCAAGGTCCAAGGAGCGCGAAGCAGGTGCCACAGTGGAACACCTGGAGAAAGAGGATCTTGAACACTGTCCTAAGCTCCGCTTCCAGTGGCTACCCAAGACTTCAGTTCAGAACCTGAGATAGACTGCGTCCCCCGACCTGCTCAACACTAGCCCTCGCGACCTTATCCAAGAATTCGAGACGAATGAAGAATTTCAAGCCGATATTGGCCGCTGTCTCAATAGCGGGGAGACCATAACCATTTGGGCAGACAGGCGTGAAGACCTTCCTGCCATTGGGTTTCTTAGGGTTCGATGGCTCGCTTGCCTCATTCATCGCTTCACCGGCGGTGCAGACCCCAAGGTCTATGAGCCTCCCTTCCCTGATTCAGACGACATATACGCTATTGGGTCTATGCTTAGGGATGCCAAGAAGCTCCACAGACTGCGGAAGCGCTTGTCGGACCTAGAACTCCGTATTCACAATAGACTGGCAGATGTTTAAGCAAACTGACTTGGAAGGATAAGAAGGAAGACTAGAACAATGGCGGCGGAATCAGTGTAGCATGTCTAGAGGCTATATCCTTCTAGAGAATCTGGAAGTGTTTTTGGGTTTTTTTCCATTTATGTTCTACCCCGCGGTTGATGGACGGCACCGGAATCCCTGACAGCAAGCCCAACAAAGCAAAATATCAAGATCGGTTTTATGACCAGAAACTTGCACACATAGTATGGCCATCATTGTATCCTAGCGTCGTTATTCTCTATCTTCATTCGTCAACTTCGTCTTCCGCTGTAATTACCCTCTGCCAATTTCCGTTATCTTCGCTATCGTTGTCATCCACTACTTCTGAATTTTGGTCATCGCCCTTCATTATTATCGTCTACCGCAGTCGTCTACGGCCTTCCAGCGTCCTTGGTCGCCGTAGTCATCTCCGATATTTTCGTCTTTTTGTCTTTTTTATCCCTAGTGTACAGCATGCTTAGATAACCTTTGTGTGCTGGCAACCTTGGAGGTAAGTTACCAACATTGTTGAAAACGCACGCCGCTGATACACGTACCTACCGCAATAGACCGAGCTTTCTCACGGCAAGCCTTGTAAAGATGTCCACCAACCATCAGAACTCTGCCTGTGCTTGGTTCGGAGATGCTTGCCAGCCCCCCTCGCAGCATGGCCGCCATCGGTATTGCGCCTCAGCGCATCGACGATCTTGACGAGGTATTGGACGGACGATTCACTTACATTGCTTCGATCCACCGTTGCCTGGAGAACGACTTCCCTGATCTGATAGATATGCATAGCAACTATGATCTCCGCAGTCCTCACGACACCTCCCGCCCAGAGCTATACACCTATCGCCAGATTCTGAACCAAGTCCGATACTGGTCAACATTTCTGTCTCTGCCAATGAAGAGACTCAGAAAGATCCACAAGGTATTGAATGACGAGGATGCAGAGAAAAGAGATGATATGTTCCACATCGTGATGATTGGTCTGTCAGTGGTGCCGGAAATGATTTGGATGTATGAGTGTTGTTTCCGCCCTGGCATCATCCCAGTGGACGTCGGCTAACCTCTTCAAGTCACAAGAAATCCAACCGACAAGAAGACGGCGAAGGCAGTGAGGAGTTCCATGGCAGTGGACTGTACCAACTCGGTTTTCTATTAATAGTGCCAATGATGACAACAGGTTCGCCAGCGAGATGGCGGGGTGTGCTGCATCACGGGGAAAATAAAGGCAGAATGCTGTTACATCTCCCCTTTCTGGACCAGCACTCGCAACAGAGTTTGGCCTATGATGCATCTCATCTGCACGTTTCTTGGTCCTGGATACAAGGTCCTTGCATCGCGCATGCAGAAGTTGGTGGACACACCACAGAACATGTTGCACCTGAGTAGCCAACTGCACAAGTACTGGGATGAAGGAGTCTTTGGGCTTGAACCTCTGAACTACGTCTCCAGGCCCAAGAGCATCCCCCGGTCTGACGTGGGGAAGGGTAAAACGATGGATGGTGTTGTGGATGATGAGGAGCCTCAAGAGATTGAACACGGCATCAAAATCTGCTTCCACTGGCTTCCTGCCACATCGCTTGAGCATATGAAGGTCGACAACCCGCATCCTTGCACAAAAGATCCACGCAGCTTGTTTGTTCCGATTCCTAGCAAGTACAGCGAGGGGTTCCGGGTTAGCTCGGGACCACCGGCCACACGTTCACTATGTGGGCGAATAAACTGAAGGATCTGCCCTCCATGGAGTTTCTGAACCTTCGATGGCTTGCTGTCAAAATGTATCGTTTTGCTGGCGGTGCGGATCCTCGATTCTACGAGCCGCCTTTTCAGGATGAGGACAATATGAATGTGGTGTGTAAGGAGATCGGGAACGCCCGGGAGCTTCGAGAGCTTGAGCAGCGTCTGCTACAGCTCAAACCACGACGACTACATAAGTAGTAACTCATGTCCACCCAATGGTTCGATATAAGCAACAGCTCAGGGTTTTTTTCTTCCTGCTTATTTATCACCAACTGTATGAATTTTTGAAGGTGCCCGAAGACGGAAAATTTGACGATGTAACACGACTGGGTTGAGATGAATGATGATGCTGCCCGTTAAGTCGGCAGCAAAATCATGGGCGTGAACGGGGCGACCCCGCCATGGCAGAACACAGATATAGATCAGTGTAGGTGGCCAACAACGTATCGTTCGTTCGTTCGAGACTTTTTACCCTTCGGACGTTGGCCAAGGGCAGTAATTAAGAGTATTGAACATCTCGAAAAGTTTCATGGACCCAACAAGTAGTGTCCAGAACATCAAATCTTACAAGAGACCGGACTTCGTAAACAAAACCTCGGATCCGCCCGGTCCACGTCATGATCCAGGCCAGCCTCATATGACGCAGGGATAAGCGCTGAGAGCGAAATGAAGAGAGACCCCCGTTCCCAAGGTGCTATAACACCAGGGGGTTGGACACTGTCAATATGAATAAATACTTCAAGGAATGCCTGGATGGGCAAATTTTCCTACCTTTTGCGAGTTGGGCCTCGTTCAAGGGGAACATTTCTCTATGAGGAATCCGTGTGGACAAAGTGGCGTACAAAATAAAAATCGATCTTCTTTTGCATGGACAACTATGCAATACACTGCTTCTTCATACAATTCCCACCCACACGAATACGCTTGAATTTGAGCAAAGTCTCCTGTAATTCCCTGGGAAAACCAGTGCGCAACATGAGCACCACGGTAGATGTGGACAATTGTCCCGGCCTGAGCTCTCCTTTCGAAGATGATTTGTCCAGTCGACTTGACCTCATTATCAGCATTCACAACCATCTTCATGCAGACAAAAAGAACCTCAGATTTGATGTTCTCTGGGACAAAGGCAGACCAGGTGATAGTAACCGCCCGCGGACATATCAGCTTGGCGATGTTTTGCCGCAAGCGCGTTTCTGGGCTACGCTTTTGTCCTTGGATATTGACCGTCTGAGGGCTCTTCATGACGAGACGCTGAACGATAGAGGTTACCTCTTCGGCTTTTTTCCAGGGGTAATACCGGAGTTTGTCTTGTGTTGTGAGTCTGACCACTTACCTTATCCTTGTATGGTCCGAGCTAACTGCTACCACCTAGTCATTCGTGTCCTTTTAGAGCATTCAGAAAATACGGCCGACATCCGCGACGGCAATAGGTGTTGTATTACGGGCCAGAACGATGCTCAGCAATGTCATATTATACCTTTATGGACATCGATAAGACGTGAGAGAACCAAATTCCTGCTAAGTGAATTGTACGACATTTTTGGTTATGAAACCGTGACAAGAATTCAGTGGGCGGTCGATCGCGAGCTTCGCAAACCATCTTTAATGAATACCTTCTGTTTGAGCCGACGATTACAAGCTATTTGGCAAAGTGGAGCGTTTGTCTTGGAACCCGTGGGCTACGTCACAAGACCCAAGAAGATCAAAGAAGACGGCGATGCGTTGTGTCAGTCAAGTAGCCGGGGCCCAGGCTCATTCATGGCAGCAGCCTTCCGATCGATGAGTAGATTTACAAAGATCGGCAACTCCCCAGAAACAACTACATCGACCGAAGGAACGGACCAGGTCAACGGGCAGGAGTCCAAACTCGAGTATGCCCTCGCCCGAAGCCTCATCAATAATTGTTCCCAGAAGAAAACCGACGCAGACACTAATGAGTATGGTCTCCAATTACGATTTGAATGGCTCCCAGCAACCTCCCTCCGTCATTTGAGAGCGGATGGTCCCGATTTGCGCACTGATCCCCGCACCATATTCCAGCCTTTGAAAGAGCGAGATCAAGAGTTTGGGGGCCTCAACGCAGGCCAAATCAGGGACGACCAGATCTTCACAGTGTGGGCAGACAACATCAAAGACCTCCCCAACTGGGACTTCTTGCAGCTACGGTTCCTGGCGTGCCGCATCCATCGCTTAGGTGGGGGCGCAGATCCCAGTCTTTACGAGCCGCCACGTCCTGATTCGGATGACATGTTTGAAGTCACCGAGCTGCATAGAAAGTTTGAGGAGAAGTGCAAGCTGGAGAAGCGTCTTGCCAAGCTTTACAAGGAGCTAGGCGGCGACAAAGATGTCCTTGGTATGGATCCTACCAAGTGCCACTTTTGTGGCGTCAGCGCCCCAGGTTCGAGATGAACAGAGCCGATAGGGTTTGCAGGCCAGATTTTGGGTGAAATTAGTGATCATCATGATTGGCCAGACAAGCACCGTATACACATTGCTGTATATGCACCAACGGAAACTAGACTGCTGGCCATGAGGAAAGATTTGGAGAGACGATGTTTTTCTAGCAAAGTAAATATTCTCAGCGCAAGAGCAACAATCATAACCGGCTGTAATATTACATAATCCAACTTCCTAAGCACAACCGTTCAAAAGGTCACCCTTCTTGGAGCAGCACGACAAGAACTTGTCATTGCTGGTGGTTACGCATTCCCGACCCGACAGACCCCCCATCGACCCGATTCCAATGCAGCAGTCTTTTGTATTGACTCTACTGTCGCATTGACAGTTTCCTCGTTTTGTCCTGCGCCATGGTGTATCAGCGAAATTCATCTTAGTATACGGAGGTAACTCTCTTACAGATGATGGGATGCCTGTTGCCCATCTCCATTATCGCGCACAGCATCTGCCGTCAGAACGCTGAAGAAGGAAAAGAAAATGCAGATATATGTCAAAATTCCCATTTTGATGGTGGCGATTTGTTCGTGAGGAGTAGGATTTCCATCATGAAATGCGATTCACTCGAAGAGACATGCATTCTACTTATAGAGTAACTGAGCATAAAGAAAACGCGACAGTCTACATATATCTGATCCAACTTAGAGTGAGTATTTAGAGTTCTCACTGATATCTAGGCCTTGGTGAAACACACCTCGTGTGAAGGACTTGCTCGGTTGTCAAGTAGGGGTTAACGTCTAAAGCGTTCTGCTGCGGATGCTCTTGGGCAGATAGCAATCAACATGCAACAAATATTGACTCGTAAAATCTGAAGGGCCTTGCGAATTATTCAAAGGGTTATTTTGGTGTAAGCATATCGCTTGGAGCCAATGCGATACCGAGTAGCAGCAGGTTTGTGGGTCGGCCGTGCCGTGGTAGTTTCCGGACGCATCCGGGGGTGTCTTCCAGGCCGGCTTGACAGACCCGACCACCTTTAATTGGAATCTTTGCAGACGCCAGGCCAGAATCGCGGCCCCTGAACTTGTTACATAGCATCATGTTGGGAAAGACAACGGCACCCAAATGTAGTTCGGGAGGTGACCTTCAGGCGTAAGTTGGTGGACAACAAGAATACCTTGCCTGCAATATAGCCGCAGCACTCGGCCCTCAACGCTAGATATTCTTGGACGTAGGATCAAATCGTCTGTGAAACTCGGATTTTGCAGCCCGCCGTGCTTGGGCGGGCCAAAAGGCCCCGTGTTCGGACCAACCCGTGATACAGGTGGGGAAATTCGCCCCGGATCGGCGGAGTCATCCGGATGACACAGACAGTTCTACTCATAAAAATGCCTCCCTCCGGCAACATGGCAGTGTATTTCGGGGTGGCCGTCTCCCTCAAATTTAAGTGTTGCTGGAAGCACAGATCTGAACATGACATCGATCGACAGTCTAGATAAGGCGAGCAGACTGACGAAGATCGACATAAAGCCGTCTTCTCCTCTCCCAGAAAGAGGATAGGTCATCGCACCCACGCGTTCTTTAGAATCAGAATTCAAATAACTACGCATTAGTTACAGTCACTCTTTTCATCTGCTTTTGATTCCTTCATTCATTCTGAACCATTCACTCCAACACTCATCACCTGATCACCACAAACTTCTCTCGATTCAAACTACGAGTTCACCATGCGGTTCCTGGACATCACCACCCCCCTTTGCCTCATTCTCGCCACTCTTTGTGCAACCGTAACTGCCTGTGATGGCTACCTCTTCTGCCACTGCTACAACTCCGACGGAAAGCCCAACGACGTCGCGACCGAAACAGTCTGCAATCGATTCGCCAAAGGACAATCGAAGATGATCGACGCCAACCAATGGTCTGACGGCGCCAGGGAATGTCGGTACGCTGGCCCCGAATTCACGCCCTATGATCGCAGCCGTCCCGGCGGTAACGTGAAGGCATACGGCTTCGGCAACTGCGACTGGCGGGTGATGTGCCAGGAAGCCGGGGCGACCGGCAAAGACTCCAGCTGTAGGGATACACCGCCTGAAGGCCCCAAGAGCCTCAATTCGATTTATATCGTCGGCCACAGCTAGATCAGAGACTTGAGGACTTGACCCCAATGTCCAGGCGATTCCTTTTGCATTTTGTTCGGGGTTTAGGTGCAGACAGCTAGCAATAGGGATGATGGAATGTCTTCTGCCGTGGGTTCCCATGGGTCATCAGAGATAGCAGTGATAGGCTAGGCAAGCATAAAACAAAGCATTCCACATTAAACGATGACATACACATTACCAAAACTGTAAGATAAAGTAGGGTGTTCAATTTTAAGATGCGCCAATAGCTCGCCTGTTTCTACGACGCGTATTATGACAAAGACAACTGGCTGTCATTTCCCCTCCGGTTCTGTTCTCAACGAGCCATGAGTCCGAACTTGAACGTCTGCTATCTCGACGAGTCGCAACTCGACGAGCGACTCAAGTATATCCACGAGTTTAAGTAAGATGTCTCTCATGGCTAGAAAAGCCTGGCGAGCCACACGGCCCTGTTGCAGCCTAATGAACTAAGGTTAAGAACGTACGCGCACATTCCACAGGGCTGCTATTCTGCGATTATGATAAATACCTAAATGTAGCGGGTCCTGGTAGAAAGCGTTCCCAAAACTTGGAATCTCGCTAGTATATATCATTCATAGCTCACTCTGCACATCAATTGACCAAACCCGCGGATACCGCAATATACCCAAGTATATTCGACCTTTCGAATGCGCAGGCGACGAAGTGAATTCTACGGTCACCAGGGCGTCGTGCATATTGTGAGGTTTTCCCATGATCGTCGAGTCTCTTACGATATACAATAAGTTAGCTACGTTTGACGTTAACTTTTTTGAAAAGAGAAGATGCACCCGGTGGATCCTTCTGCAGGTGACAGCTGCAGTTACCTTACATACATCCACCAGGCTAATGCAGATAAATATTCAGCTCAGTCTTGGCCCTGTGTTTGATTGGTCCTTTTCCCGTGTGTGCCATGGTTTTTGAGACATTCACCGTGTTGCTCTCAGCGACATGCTTCGGTTGTTTGATTTGAGTAAAGTCGTTTTCGAAAAATGCATGTATGAGTTGGCGATCACACGTTGAGGCCCGCTTGTCCCTGTACCAACAGCATCATATATTAATCAACGTCTGCAGTTTCCGTGGAGATGATCAATTTTCTCTCGTCCGAGATTTCTCTCCTGGATTTTATCGTCTCTTAACTTCACTTCCACTTGTTCATTCGCTCATCTGGATTCATTATCCGCGTATGCCAGACCGCCGTCCAAATAGTGACAATGACAGAGAGTCCTCGAGACACGGAATTACAGGTGATGGGCAGTAGAGCCAATGATGAATCTGATCGTCCGACAGGGGCAGAGGGGACGAGAAATACGAATAACAGGAAGCAAGTATACACATCGGTTTTAACACCTGAATTTGTTGCATCGCATTCAGCTAACTAATTGTGAGCTGTGCGTGGACCATTTCGCATCATTTCTTATCCGGCCCATGACGATATCCAACCGTCCGAGCAAAACATCTTATCTAGCGTCGGTAGAAACTCGTACACATCCTCACCACGATGGCTTCATGTACCACGCAATAGTCTTGATCAGGCCAAGGTATTCCCAGACAACCTGCGACTGTCGCAATTTTCAACACACTGATACACTTCACTCATAGGAACTTGTGGATAGTCAGATGGGCAGCGAATCCTACGCGGAAAGGATGAAAAAGACTTGGGACAAGAAGCTGAGACCTCTGAACTCTGTTCCTGACACAATCATTCCTAATCATGCGTGGTGCATGGAACCATCGGTCCAAATGCCTCCAGGAGAAGAAAAGGCCGGAATAACAGTATTTGTAAGGCCATCTATCTTGTGTCTCTCTCAATGCCGTTGAACTTTGGTCACATACTGAAAGCTGTTTTCTAGTTTCCATATTTGAACTGGGAATCTTTTGGGGAGTTGAAGAAGCAGCGCAAGGAGTTTGTTGCCCAAAGGACGAACCAACAGCGCCGGACATTGGACGAATTTTACTACTCTGGTTTGCGAAACACAGCGTCCAGAAATGCGGGACAGACGGTGTCCAAATGGACAGGCACAGACGTACGCGAAAATGGGAGAGATCAAGCGGCAGAAGACTGCCACGTCATACTCGTTGACCAGCTTTGGATTTGGACTTTAGGCGACTGTAAGTACTATCACGAGATCACTCGATTCTCCCAACGCTGAGTGTGTCTTCGCACAAAATCCGATACGAAAAGGCTCACTTCGTTTCAGTCACCATTGTGTCTTGCTTTCCAATGGATCTTGGTCGAAAGCAGCATCATAGTATTGATGTTATGGCCTCTGTGACAGCTGAGATTAACAATTGCGAGGATACGCTCGACGTGCTTGCACTTCTTGTCAGCCACTCTGTCATTCAGGTGCTCGAAGGATCTAGTCAAAAACAGGCCGATCTGCTGGCAATCTACAGGTGGGCAGCGGCGAACAAGGTATTAAACCCGGACTTTCTTTACCACCGCCCCTCGTCTCTATGTTGACTGATACACCTGTCTCAGGCCGCGCGGCACTCCGAACTGCTTGAGAAATTCTGGAGAAGGCAGTCAGCCCATTCCATTGAGGCTCAGGAAACAGAAGGATCTGAAGAGTTGAATCTAACACTCGAGGTTGTGGATCTTCTAGACGAACTGAACATCTTGATGCTTGTGTTCGAAAAACAAGACAACGTCGTGAGTGAGTTGTTGACCAACCTGTCTCTGATCAAGCCGAAAGAGGATGGGAAAAGAGGAGGACCTGAACAACGGATTGTTTTTGAGGGCTGCAGCCTTGGAGATGTCCGCTTGAACACCAGCGGATACTCTACAGCAGAGATGCTGTTCCGTGGTTCTTCGATTGGAGATCTTGAAACGTTCGCCAACGTGATCTCTACCTCACTGGGAGGGTATGCCGGGAAATGCCTCGAAAGAGCTGCACGTCGCCTTCGTTTGGAGAAGTCACAGATAGAGAGGCTTCACCGTGAAGTGGCCCAAACACACAGATTGGTAAGCATTGGCTGCACCTCTTCCATTATTGAATCTCGATTCACTGATCACGCCGTCAGTTGCTAGAGCTTTTGGACCTAGAGCAGAAGGCAGCCAGTCTTGGGGAAGCTCGAATTACGACGAAACAAGGACAAGCTATTATGCTTTTCACAATTATTACTATCATATTCGTAAGCTAAATGCTGTTATTTGACAGTAGTGTATATAAACCCTAACGTTTCTAGCTCCCTCTTTCGTTCTTCACCTCTTATTTCGGCCAGAACGTGTCAGAGCTCACCGGGGACCCTCAAAACCCGAAGTCGGGTGATCTTTGGAAGATAGCCGGTCAGTTTCTCGCAGTTTTATAATCGTTCTTGATGGCTATTGTTGAAAATCTGACATTGTCGTTTTACAGCCCCGATATCCGTAGTGGTTATTCTGGTCGCCTTGGCCATTTCCTTCTTCATTGTTTATCCTTGGAAATCTGGGAAGGACTTCGTCGCCGGAATCTGGACCAGGTGTGTGCAGCGACTCAGTAGCGGAAGTAAGGGAGAGGCGGAAGCTGGAACAGTCGATTGATCTCAACTGGATCCTTTGATCGTTACATTGCTTATGCGTGATGGCAGCTGGAAGACTAGACGTCGCAGGAGAGGGTCCCAGAAAGCATCCGGGATTTCTTTAGATTATTTTACGTCAAATTGAGGTTTGAAAAGGGCGAAAACCTCGACGATGCCACGCTTTTGTCTAGGGTTGATCATGGTTTATCGTACAACTGTGTGTAGGCTCGGCGGAATGGTAATGAGGAATCGTAGGGCAGCTGTCAATGGTACGTGATTTCGTATACACCTCTTCTAGAAAAAACCTCATATCCACAAGCCCATTCTATAGCCAAAGGAGACGCCTTGCCTGTAAAGTGGGAAACAAATGATAAAACAAACATTGAGAGGCACAGATCAAATGTTCCGCGGCAAGGCAAGGCACCACACATCCTCAGATGCAATGCTAAGATGAGATAAATGACATGTTTCTTCCCAATTATCGCTATTATAATCTTCAAAATGTAGCAATCCACCTACACCAAGCCGAGCGCACGTCAAAAGAAACAATCCCGCCGCCGCCGGGTCAATCAACCGAAAGCCCGCATCCACCCAAACCGTCCGGCCCCACCCCGGAATCCCCATCACATCTCGATCCATATGGATACACCACGTACGTTCCCAGCCAGCAACCCACCAAGAAAGAAACCCCCAACTCAAACATCCTCTGTTTCTCCCTCCCTCAACCACCTGCTCCCGTAGCCTACCTCAACTAGCAACCCCCCATTTGCGCTGGCAAGCCTAGCCCTATCTCCCCTAACCCTCCAGTCCAACAACCAAGTCCGGCCGTCCCAGCGGACCAATCAGCCCCACCCACGTCAAAAAACCACCCAACCTAGCAACTAAGCTAGTCACCTTCTGTATGAACCACCAAGAGACTTCGCGATCACGATGCGACTACACTGTCTCAGTTGAGCATGTTCTCGACTCGATTGGACCTCGGGCGATGCAACATATCACGATCTCGTCCGGTCCGAGGTGTTGTTGGGGTTCACATTGTTTGTGGGTGTGAAGCGGGGAGGGTGAGGGTGGGTCGGTAAGGCTGACGTGTCTGTCTGTCTACGGGATCTGTGGGGGGGAGAGGGGGGATTCTTCAACGGACTTCGTGTTCCATCTGACCTGTCACTCTCGGTTGATGTCCAGTTGAGAGAGTACGGAAATCGCGTTGCGGGTGTGAGAAATGGTAGTGTCGAGCAATGGCAGTTCTTTTTGTCTTCCCATGCTACCCTAACTAATCAAGCCAAATCAGGCCAGACGCTATTTAATTGTAACCGCGTCAACTCTTCCCAACGCCCAGTGTATGAACCAGTGCCGTGTTCGTAACACGCGAACGAGTCGATGCTTCAATCTCAAGACTCAGTTGCTGAACTTTTGTGAATCCCAAAACCATTGTCCCCAAGCGACTGTCCGGCACCCCCATCGCTGCAGCACGGTAAAGACCAGCGCAACCGATTGAAGCGGACGGCAGAGGCTAGCCCCGGAACGTTAGAGGCGGCGCTGCATCACGCGCTTGCCCAACGAGGACTTTCCCTGTCCCACGCCGGGGCCTTTCCATCCCATGACCAAAACACATATCCCATATCCTTCTAGACCCACTCCGTCGTTTGCTGGAGGTCTCTTGGTTCGGCCGCGAACAAGAAAGCAATCTCAGCAAGGAAAATTAAAACACAAAAAATCAATGTCGATAAATCAGCCGCTGGTGGAGGTCGAGAATGAAGGCGCGAGCGATTATGCATTAAAGGAACTCCTTGTATGCCGTCCGTTCCTATGTACCATCCGGAAAGAATAGTCGTTTCCCCTCGACGCTGCGTTGAGCTCATCAGGTATGGGCAACGAAAGACTGAAATGCAAGGCTGTTTTTCCGTTCGACTCCGAAATCCCTATTCGTATGCTTGGATTGTAGTCAAATCGGTGTGAGAGCCGAGGACTGCGATAACTCTTTGAACGCCCCGCGATGCCGTGGCCGTGCGCGGCCGGAAGAGTTGAAATGCCCTGAACGCCGATGACCGAAAGATGAGCTCAAAAAAATTGGATCGAAAAACATTCGAGAAACGTCAAATGACAAGTCCGTCGTGAAGGTGCGACGGTGGTGTGAGAGTGCGAGCAAGACTGCTATTAACCCCTAATTGCTGTCGCGGCATGAGTCTCGGTGTTGAACGGAAAGCGCTCCTGCAGCTGCTGGGCGTACGGATAATCATTCGGCGACGTACCGGCGAAAGGAAAGCCACCCACTGAGGCGACCGGAGAGGCCGACCTCATGGTCGCTGGGGCGGAAGCCTGACTCGGACGCTGGTTCGCAGTTCGTTCTAGATGGGGTTCTAGATGGGGTTGGCTGAGTGGGGAGGCGGCCGGAGATGAGCCATAGGCTCCCAGTTGCTGAAAATAAGGGTTGGGATCCCGAAGGTGGAATGCGTGGTGCTGGGCGGGGCCGGCATGCTGAGCGTGGTGGGCCATGCTGGGGCTGCCGTTCGAGCTCGAGCTGGTGCTGTTGGATCCTCGGGTAACGAAACCATCGTCAGCTCCGTCAAACTTCCCGCTCTTAAGGGTGCCGTCAGTGATCTGAGGGCTGGACTGCTTGGAGCCGAACTGTTGAGAGCCAAAGTCAGTACATGCTTTTCGGGCTGAGATTGGGCGAGCGTTGATGAGAGTGATGATGAGAGTCGATGAAAGGATCGTGCATCTGTGATTGTTGACCAGGAGTACGTACAAAGCAGTATTTGTTGACCAATTCCTCGTACGAGGACGAAGCGATCATGGCGTTGGGGGAGTCGTGGCCAGAAGCGGTCGGCAGGACGGGCTTGACAGCAGGGGCGGTGGAGGTGGCGGTCGGGTTCGGGGTTGACCTGTGCTGTTGGGGTTGCTGGGCGGGGACCTGGATCTTGCGATGGCTCTTCATATAGAGACCATCGGCATTGCGATCCTTGCCAATGTTGTCCTTTGCAGCCTGGACCGCAGCAGAGAGAGAGGCACCAAAGTCGTAGCGGTTGGCAAAAGCTTGTCCGCTGGGCGCTGACAGACGGCTCGAGAGGTTATCGCTAGCCAGGCTGCCAGTGGACTTGTTGCTCTTGAGGCGAAGGCCAGCATTGGGGCCTGACTCGCCCAGGTACTCGTGGATGGGCTGGTCAAAGTGGATCTTGCCCTGCTCGCCAAAGTCGTCGAAGCCGACGGGCATAGACTTGGGGCGAGGATTGGACGAGGGGCTCGCACGACGGTTGCTGCGGGGAAGCGCAGGTCGGCTGGCGGCGCCCTGGAGCCCACGCTTGCCGTTCTGGGGCAGGTACTTCTTGCGGAAGTCAACCTGAAAGTTGGTGCCGTTGTTGCTGTCCCAAAACTCTTGGCCGTTCACGTTGTAACGAATGCAGAAAAACAGTGTCTTGCTCTCGAGGTTAGCCAGGTCGGACAGCTTGATGGAGAACTGGAAGCGGTCGTGAGAGACACCGCTCTCTTGAGGGCGGATCTCGTGGGAGTACTCGGCGCCAACTTCCGAGGTAGTCTTCCAGTAGTCGAGGGTGAATCTGCAAGTGACAGACTTCTGGAATGCCAGGTTGGCCACGCAGACGGAGCCCAGCAAGCTCTTCTGGTCGCTGGACAGCCACACCCTCTCGAGGCGGACAGGCAGTGACTTTCTGATGGGAGTGTCGGCAGGGTGGTTCGCCGCCACGATCTCCCACTCGAATGGGGGGGATCGAGAGGCAGGGCGCTGCTCATCGCCGGGGAAGGGGTACTCGGTGTCACTGTCGTAGGCGTCAACAGGCGAAGAACCGGCGCTGACAGCAAGCGGTCTGTCGACCTGGAGGAAGTGGCGGACATGTTCGAGGTGGGAGTCGAAGTGGACCGCCTTGGAGAATGTCGGAGTGCCAGGCATGCTGGAGGGTCTGCGGCGGGAAGGCGGCCTAAGTGCGGGGCGAACAAGCTCGCCTGACTTCTTCCGCACCATCTGTGGCTTTCTGGGTGCTTCCTCATCGGACTCCTCCTCAGAACCGGTCAGGGATGCATCGGCAGACTTCATGACAATCTTGGGCTCAGTGCTCGATCTGGAGTGGCCCACCCGGCGGCCGACAGTCTTGGCGAGGGCGTCCAGAGCACCGGTGCTAAAGCTGTGTGTGATACCATCGTTGGTGACGAGTGCTAGTGTCGGTTGTTGTGATTGTTGCTCGGGCTTCGGGCTGGGCGATGCCTCGCGGTGGACCGGAATCTGGCTGATGGCATCCTTAAGCTCCTTCAAGTTTTCGATCTGTCTCCCTCGCTGTGCGCTATCCTCCTCTTCGCTGCCAGAGTCCGGCGGGGAGATGATAGCTCCCTTAGGCATACCTCGCTCATCCGTCAGTGGCGGCGGTGATTGTCTCACGCTGCTGCTCGTTGCCATACCCTTAAGATCGTCCGACGTGCCTGGAGGAGTGGGCTGGTTGGGGGTGCCATTCGGTGCCCCCGTCGCGGCGGATGGTGTCCTCCTGTGCTTTGTGAGGTACGATGCTGACCTTGGTAGTGATGGTCTCGGGCTGGACTGGAATGACGAGCGGCGGCTCACGTCAGGCGAGGACGGTGCTGAGCTTGCTGGCGAGCGGTGGGAGGGCGGTGTGTAAGGCATTATGGATGCCGGTTATGTGATGGGGGAAGAAATATAGGTTGTTAATGTCGTGCACCCGGCACGTAGGGCTGTGGCGGCTCGGGGATGAGGTTGAAAAATGCAAACTGGTATCAATTCATGCGATTAGGACGGAGGGAGCGGCCGAGGACGAGGGGCGGCTTTAGGATTAGGATCTGTAGGATTGGAAGGTTCTCGTCAGCCCGGTCGCGGCCATGAAGTACGGAGTTATCAAGTCGAGTAAGGAAATCGGAGCGAGTGCATTGGCTCCGGTCGAGTTGGAGTAGGTAGTTGAGAATAGGGAAAAGAGACAATGACAGGGAAAAAAGAAGGCGCTGAGGCAGTAAGTGCTTCGAAGTAAGATTACGAGAAAAAGGTGCAGAGATAGGAAACAATTA